CGGAGAAGTTGTCGATGAACCGGACTGTCTGCTTTTCGAGGGGCACCGTAGTACCACCCGACGTGACGAGGCACACACGGCGATTAGCGGCATTGTGAAAATTGATGAATTCCTCGGCCTGTGCAGTATGCCGAGCCAGGTCTTTTGGAGGAGGGTTCGAGCTGAAGTAGTGGTTCTCAACCTCAGTCGATACCGGCTCTGTCTCGTTTGACGATGCCATACTGGAATGTCTTGAGGACGTGGATGAGAAAACAGAATTGGCCGGGGACGGCGGCTGGGATTCGGTAGCTGGCGTGAGATTGAAGGAGATGGACAGTGATGACGAGGTCGGGTGACACTCGGGTGACCCAGAATCCCGGGGCGAATGTGAGGTCTGTAAAGACTGCAGCATGATTGTCAGCTTTTGGTTGAGGTCACTGTAGTAAGCCTTGCTCGCATGTGTGGTGCAATAAGAAGAAGCACAGCCGTGAAAAGGCTATCCATTCTGGCACCAGGGAGCACGATGCTTTATGAATGAGGGTACAATAATTGGCCAGTGGTGCGCCAATCTCGGGCCATAGTCGGGGATCAAGGTTGGCAATCCCGCCGAATCTCGGGAGTCAGACGGGACTTGGTCGGGCTTGGGGCCTGAGGAGCCTCGGCCGTCGGTTGCGGAGTTGAGGGGTTGCGGGAGAGGGGGGGGGGCACGGCGCCGTGCTGCACGGCACGGTGGGCCGGAGCTGAGGCCATGTTGAAAAAAAATAAAACATCGGAACGGGACGTGCGGGATTGGGCCCAGGCATGAGAGACGACTGCTTACCTCGGGTCTCGACAGGACCAGGCGACCACTTCAGTGCGGCGAGTGAGTTGTAAATCAATGGTTCATCTAGTGAGTCAGACCTCGGAAAGGGAAACGGAAGAGGTTTGTCGACTTTGGAACTACTGTGGTGCTCCCTCGGAGCAAGGGAAATCTGCCGATCGTGCACAGGCGGGAGTCAAAATACGGCGTTGCAACCGGCACGGTCCCTTCCACGGGTTAGGGGTCGGTGAGAGCTGGCTGCAGAAGGGGTGGTCTCTGTTCGATGACGTCAGCAGCTCCTCGGACAAATCAAAACCAAAGCAAAACCTCGTGCGGACAGCCCCTGCTGAGACATCGCTCAGGAACCAGCACCAGCTCGAGGACCAGTGCCAATATGGCCCTCCCACCCATCGCCTCGGCCACCTTTCAGAGCGCTGTGCTGAGCGCAACCTCAAACATCTTGGCCCAGGCCATCACAGCCTACCGGAGCGACGTATGATGTCCTTCTCCCCGGTCGCGAGACACACACATGTTGGCTTACTGTGTCTCAGAAACAGTTTGCAATCGACTGGATTCCTGTTTTCCAATTTTTCTGGTTTACCGTCGCGTCGACCCCGCCCAACTTTCTGTGTACGTGTAGAAGCCGGAGCACAACCTCGCTTGCGCTGGCAGCCCTGACAGCCTCAATGGCACACGACCGAGTTGTCTCACTCACACCTCTGCAGGGCAAGACTTCCTCGAGTCCACCTTTCCAGCCACCAAGACCGTCCCGTCGTCGGAGGCCATCAGATCAGCCTCCGGCTCCAATGAGAAAGAGCTTGACCGCGAGGCCCGCGAGGGCAAGCTTGTCGAGACCAAGCTTGATGTGAAAAACACCATCATCAAGTTCATCCTGGACCAGACCATTGGCGCCGCCATCAATACGCTGATGTTTAGCCTTTTCCTCCACAGCATAAAGCAAGCCATGGCTCACCGGCCACTCAACACTGACTTGTCAGACATCTCGTTTCTGACCAGCGGCAAGGCCATCGACTACAGCCAGGTCGACTGGAGGCTGGTGCTTGAGCAGGCAAAGGTAGAGTTCTACCCCATCATGAAGGCCGGGCTAAGCCTCTGGCCCGCGGTAAGCTTGTTCAACTTTGTGGTGGTGAAGAGCATCGAGGGCAGGAATCTGGTTGGTTCGTTGGCCGGCGTTGTCTGGGGAGTCTACATGAGCCTGGTGGCGGCAGGTTAGGCTTCAGACTTTTGCGTGGAGCATGACCATGAGGCAGGCATAGAGGAGACAGGGCCATTCACATTTGTCACGCATAGACCTGGAAGCGTCTAGTTGGGAAGTTCAGGACGGATTGCTATGGAAGGAATGGATTTTGAATGCCGCTGGCGTGTGGCCGGGGGGATCACTCATCAACTAGAGCACATCATGTAGAAGGCCGATGCATAGTCTCTCGAGTTGCACATTTGTCTCGGGCCGCTTGTCACTTCTCATTGCTCTCGATCAAGACATAAGTCTTCACGGTGCACTCTGTTGCTCGTCAACCTGGGGCCACTTTATAGACCACAGGTCATATGAACAATCTGAACTTTAGAATGCTATGGGCAAGCACATGATCGATGGTCTCATCACACACTGCGTTCCACAGAAGCATCGTCTACCTGGTCATCTCATAGGAGGGTGTCCTACAGGAGGTGTATCCCATAGGAGGCCCATAGGAGGTCGGGCATGGTCCGTTACAACGACGTGGTGTTTTGAGGCTAGTACGGAGACATTGATGGAGTCGGGGTGAGGTCGAATTGCAGAGATCTGCGCTAGGATCAGGGGGGTTAATTGGACCTGCAGCCGAACGGGGCGTTCCGAGACCCCGAGATGCCTAAAAATGACAGCTGTCTGCAGCGAGGGGCAGGGGCCCCATGGGTTCAATAGCGACCCTCAGGCCCTCTGGCCATCGTACTCTACAGATACGACGTACCGTGCGTAAGGCTGGCGCACCTCAGCCCCACCGGCGCTGAAGCTTGAAACGAAACCGACCCCGTCGGAACCTCCAGGCATTTCGTCACAAAACACCTGTTGCAAGCTGGCGTGTACGGTACCTCCAATTCATTCCTTCTCTTTCTCTGCTTCTTCTTGATCATCCCGTCTTTTCTTCTGTCTACCCCCGTCCCGTCCCGTCCACCGCCGTCGCTTGCTCCCGGATCAACACACTTGGCATTTCCAACTGTACCGGACTGCGCCCGTCTCTTGTCGTTCGTCACCACCTTCGCTTTGACCGTCTACACCGCCTCGAGGACCACCATGGCTGGGCCAGTCGATGCGGCCACCCGCAAGAGGGTGCTCAAGGTCGTCTTCATTTCTCTCCTCCTGGATTTGGTAAGAATAGTATCTGTTGCCCCGTTCGCTCGCATACCATCAGCTGACATGGGTTCCTCCAGATATCCTTCACCTTCATCCTCCCTCTCTTCCCCAAGCTCCTCGAATTCTATCGCAACTCCGAAGCCCCGACCGATCCGACCGCCCCTCCCAAGGACACACTCCTGTCGTGGATCCTCAGCCAGCTCAATGCCTACAAGGCCGCCTTTGCGCGCCCCATCGACTCCCGCTATGACATCGTACTGCTCGGCGGCGCCCTCGGCTCGCTATTCTCCCTGCTCCAGGCTATCGCCTCGCCCATTATCGGAACACTGTCCGACAGGCACGGCCGCCGTACTGCACTACTGGTCAGCATGATGGGCAACATACTCTCGGTCTTGCTATGGGTCATGGCCGTCGACTTCCGCACCTTCCTCCTAAGCAGGGTTGTCGGCGGGCTGTCTGAGGGCAACGTCCAGCTGGCGACGGCCATCGCGACGGACATTAGCGATAGCAGCTCGAGAGGGAGCACCATGGCCCTGATCGGCGCTTGCTTCTCCATCGCCTTCACCTTCGGCCCTGCCCTCGGCGCATGGCTCAGCAGCATTCCGACCGTGGCCGCCAACCCCTTCGCGACCGCCGCAGGGTTCAGCTTGTTTTTGATCGTCACCGAGACAATCTACTTGTACGCCGCGCTGCCCGAGACGCTGCCCTCGATGTCCGAGGACAACACAAACGGTCACGCCACCACGGGGAAGACAAACGGAAAGGCAGCCGAGGAGAAGCCTATCCAGCGCACAAACTCTCACTTCGTGCTGAACGCGACTCACTTCGCCTTCCTGCTCTTCTTCTCCGGCATGGAGTTCTCGCTGCCGTTCATGACCTACGATCTCTTCGGGTACTCGTCAGCGAAGAACGGCCGCCTTCTCGGCTTCGTCGGCCTGATTGCGTCCATCCTACAAGGCGGTGTGACCCGCCGCTTGCCCCCCCTGCTGTCCGTAAAGACGGGAGTCGTCGCCTGCCTCCTCGCCTTCGTCCTCCTCGGTCGCCTCACGAGCGTGTCCATGCTCTACGTAGCTGCCACCTGCCTGGCCACGACCTCGGCGACTGTCGTCACGGGCTTGAACGCGCTGGCCTCTTTCGAGGCAAGCGAAGGCGAGCGGGGCGGCAAGCTCGGCGTGATGAGGAGTTGGGGCCAGGTCGGCCGTGGACTTGGCCCGATCTTGTTTACTAGTGTCTACTGGTGGGCTGGGCGTGAGGTCGCGTATGCCCTCGGTTCTGCTGGAATCGCGGGTGTGGCCGCCATCGTATTTGGTGGGCTAAGCAGCCCAGCTGGAAGTGAGAAGAGTGCAAACGTCAAATCTGGGAAGAAGGCGTAATTTAGCTCGACGGGCAACTGTAAAAAAAAAAAACGTGAAGTTATCTAGGTATTGGAGGAAGACAACATTGAATATATTATCTTTTTTTTTTGAATACATCAGGCATCCTTCTTTTGAGCCTTGACAGTTCTAAATAGGCATTTGAAAGGTGGTCTACCTCGCTAACCTTTTCTGCTTATTGCTGTGATGTGTAAATGTGTCTTGGCACATGTAGTGTGAGGCCGGCCGTCTGTTGCAGGGAGAGCTACCTTGAGCAGGACGCTGCAGAACCGGGCTTTGCTGAATTAGCACAAGATAATCCTTACTAGTATCGCATTAGAATAGCGCGGCTTATTCTAGCTCGACAAAAAAACATACTACTCTTGCTTAAAAGTTCTGGCTAGCAGTAGGCCCTTGTGCTGCCTCCCAGTAGGTCCTTCGGCCGCCCACACTCATTTTAACACGTTGAAAAAAAAAAAAAAGAAGGCTAGAACACCGCAAGGCAAAAGTAATAGCAATAGGACCATGGCGGGACTTGAACCCGCAGCCTCCACTTGCCCAATTTAGGAGAGTGGCGATCTACGATTGATCTACATGGCCGCTGGACAATTGCCCTTGTTTACTGGTTTGTTTTAAGGTGATTTATAAGGTGAGTCTGGCTATGCCGCCTACTTCAAGCGAGTGGCGATCTTTGTATCACCTTCCTGATCCGCTAAATTTCGACCACTGTTGCAACAGCACTCAGTATCGCCGTACGCTGATGCCAAAGGCTTGGTCGAATGAACTAAGCCAGCCTCCTTGGCACAGGAGTGCTTATCACGCCTGTCGCACGGAGGCCCTCCCTTTCTTGTTAGCTAGAAGAAGCAAGTAATGAACAACCAACCAACCCACCGCTACCGCGACCCACGTGTATACGTACAAAACCCATTCAACAACCACCGGTATATTTGAAGCATTTGGAAGCAATGGACAGCCTTATTCTCACACCATCTCTAATAATAGCATTAATTACCCAGTTGGGTTTATCATATGGTATGCTGTCTTATCACTGTTTTTGCAAGCCTAAAACAAGCTATTTCTTTGATTTTGAGGCGGATATTTATTATGGCTCTTCTGTAAACCAGCGCATGGTAGCTACATATATAAGTATTCTTCAAGGTGTGTAAATCCCTTAAGATCGAGCTACTAAGTGTAGCAGCAGTGGCGGTTCAGGACCTGAGTATTCCGACTCAGTAGAGCTATATGAAGGGGGGATAATAGCAGCAAGTGCCCTTATAGATAGAAAGCCCTGAGATTTAGCCCCTTTAATTCATTTGACACGGTTGTTATAAAAAGCTTGTTACCCTTTTTTGAGAATACTGTGTAACCGTTACTTTATTGCCAGAGCTATAGACAACGACCCGGAACCGATTCTGTGCGATGACCTTGACTCAGCGCACCCAGCTAGATATACCGAGTAAGGGCGATGTTGAGCAGGAAATGTCTCAGCCCGACAGGTGCTCAGGGTGGTTTGGGCCCGGAGTTGTGAGACGTAGGTGGGTGCCGTCCTTGACCGGGAGTCACATATGTTCTGCGTTGCTCGCTTCTACCGAGGTGAGGAGTCACGAGCACACCCTTACTTTTGCGATCACGCACTGCAGGCTGCTGCACCTTTCGTTGGAATCAGAGACACGGCACACCTCAAGGGTCCAATGAAGACGTTACATAGGCTTGATAGTGCTTACAACTAGGGGCCTTGGCACGTTTTCAGCGTTGCGACCCAGATAACGCAGCCAATGTTTGCTTACCTATGACTCGGTTCGGCTCAACTCGCGCATATGCAAGACAAGGGGCCGCCACTAGAAGGTCTTGGGAGAATGGTATGTTGCACAGCCAAGTTGGGAGAGAGGGGATGTGACCATTGAACACGCTAAATATCGAAACCACGGACACATTTCAACCGCTTTCTAAATTCCCGGGGCCCTGACCATTCCACTATCTGTACGCATTCCAAGCCTCCCGCGTATATCTTTTTCCCAAGCAACTTGATCGACTAATTGGTCACAACAATGGCACACAATCCTTTGGAACGGAAGAACTTTTGTGTCCAAGAATCCGATTTGGCCTCGAAGGAAAGCGACGCGGTACCTGGGGATCGTTCTGACAATGACAGTCGCTTCGACCAGGCACTCGACTTCCTCAAGCAGCATAAGAATGACGCCGCGGTGGATTTGTCTAGACAAGCCTCATTCACTCGTGCTTTGAGGAGAAGGGTTGATTTTCGTGTCATCCCCTTTTTATGTTGCTGTTACACGCTGAACTTCCTCGACAAGGTCCTGCTTAACGTAAGACACTTCGAGGCTGAAATTTATTCGCGCACGCATGTACTAATAAAAACAAGTATGCCAACATAATGGGAATGGCTCAGCAGATCAACCTCCGGGGTAATCAATACTCGCACGCTTACGCCGACTTCTGGATCGCATCTCTTGTGTTCTCGCTACCGAACGTATGGCTGCTCAACAGACTTCCTGTCGCAAAGTTCTTGGGGTGCTGCCTTATCGGATGGGGGCTCTGCAACGCTTGCCATGCAGCCCTTGAGAACTACGCTGGTCTCGTCGCCTTGCGCGTTCTGAGTGGCGCGTTTGAGTCTGGCATCCTTCCAGCATTGATCCTCATCGCAAGCCAGTACTTCACCTATGATGAGCAATCAGTTCGCTTCTCATTCTGGTACAGTGGCAGTACGTATATGCAATCCAATTTGCTTTTAACTTGCAGACCAAGGCAAACACAGTGATTGACGGCATTATAGTGGGACTTGGTCAGATTTTCGGGGGTCTCATCTCGTTCGGCTTCCAGCATATATCAGCTGATGCAGCTTTGAGCGGATGGAAGACTATGTTCCTCGTACTGGGCCTCATCACAATCGCCTTCGGTATTCTCGTCATTTTCATGGTCCCGGATACACCCATGAACGCGAGGTTCTTGAGCAACGACGACAAGGTCGCGTTGCTGGAGCATGTGAAAGTCAACCAGACCGGCATCCAGAACACGCACTTCCACCCGGCACAGCTTCTGGAGGGCCTGCTTGACATCGGATGCTGGCTTCTGCTCATCAATGTGATGCTGCAACTCTGCGGGTCCGGAGTTGTCACGGCATACTCTGCCACGATCCTGAAGTCGTTCGGCTATACATCTAAAGAGGCTGCACTTCTCAACATGCCGTGTGGTGTGGTGAACATTATCGCAACGATGTGCAATGCCTCTTTTGTACGGTACTATGGCAATCGTTGGCTTGTTGTTACCTTTGCCGGGGCGGTTGGCACTATTGGCGCAGGCCTGCTCTGCTTCCTCCCTCACTCGAACAAAGCTGGCCTTTTGGTAGGCATGTACCTGATCAATGTGCTTCCGGGGGCAACCATAATAGTTTTCCAATGGCTGTCTTGTAATGTTGCTGGGCACACCAAACGCGCCTATATTTCAGCAGCTGCCAACGCCGCCTTTGCTGTCGGGAACATCGTCGGACCAGAGACATTCAGAGCCAACGAGGCTCCCGGTTTCAGGAGTGCCAAACTCACTTTGGTCATAGCTTGGGCTCTTCTGGTCGCATTTTCTCCGCTGGCTGGAGCGTATTATGCAATGAAGAACAGGTCGAGAGAACGGAGGGCTGGGGAGGTAACGGATAAACAGGCCTACGCTGGTTTGACTGACAAGGAGAACAAGACGTTCCGGTATCATTTGTGAGTGGGGCTCAGAAGATGTGAGAAGAAAATTGAGAAGTAGAAGACCAGGCCCTATGTTTGCGCTCGCCCGTGGTCCACGGTCCACAGTTCACAATCCAGGAGAAGACATTCACAGAGAGACTCCACTTAGCCATAGATAAATATAAAGGGCTCCCAGACCTTCCAGATAGCCAATGTCCGGGGCATTTTTAGCGTCTATTGGTATCAATGTTGACTAGATTCCACCTGGGACCAGGCTAACTCGGATAGAGTTACAAGGGCTGTTGGATGGATACCAGTTTCAGGCAAGAGGTGATCTCATGGCAGATGACCTCATAGGAGGTTGTCTCATAGAAGGGTAATCTCACAAAAGGGCATCCCATAGAAGGCTCGGAAGGTGTCTCACAGGAGGGTACCCTATAGGAGGCTATCCTATAGGAGTTCGTCTCATAGAAGGTTATGGAGGTTATCCCAAGAGAGGTTATCTTTGGGGGGGGGGGGGTTGTGCAGTAAGGCAGTGTGGCAAAGACGGAACGATGCCGCTCAACTCAATGTAGTGCGAACTACAAAACACCCGATCCTGGACATCGGGATATATATATGGTAGAGGCATGCCTGAGATGGAGACATATCAAGCATACTACACGTGGAGTTCTCGCTGTATTGATCCTAGTCAATATTGGTCAGATTCCCATGTCGCATTTCAACACCTCATATACTGATGAGACAAGAGCTCTCTGCCTTAAAGATAATGACAGATTGATACACTTGCAGTATAAAGCCACCACAGACTAATTTGTGGTGAATTCAACCGCGGATCCGTTTTCAAGGGCAAGAAACTTCGGCGCTTCCTCCAGCAGTAATGTACAGAATAAAATATATCCAGGCACACAGAGTGTTTCTTTTCACTCCATCATGTGTTTTCAACTGTGTCTGATTCAGATGGATTTGCTCATTAGAAGTATCTATCCGCCTGGATTGGTATCTGGGAAGAGTCAGACCACCACCGGCACTGCAATTTCCACCTACTCAACGAAATACCGCCATCCACTTCCAATAACACCTGGTGAGCAGTTTGGGTCTCAACATGCAATTGACGATTCTCGCTTGTCTCTTTCCATTCCAATATCCCCAAAACTTGCGCGGATACTAATTACAGTCACGGAACGGCCAAGACTTTCTGAAAAGAAGCAATTCGTTCATTTGTCGTGCACCATTGACCGTGGGTAACTGCTACTGTTTGGGAAAGTTCCCATAGAATTTAAGATCCAGTCCCGACGGGGCAGGGTATGCTTCCTCGTTGAGACAAGTCACGAATCCGACAAGACAGGGTGCTGACCGGTATCAATAGAGCACATTGGGACTGCTTTCCGTGAGAGGCTGGTCGTGTGTTTGCGGGTTTCACAACTGTTAAACGGAAACAGCTTAATATTCCACTGGCTTCGTGTAATTCTATAGTTTCTTTAGAGAATCCTATAGAAGTATGCATTAATATAGATGTCAAGGGAAAGAGATATTAACTGGGACTATAGCTATGGGATTATTAAATTTTATATAGGGACTGTGTCAAGAGACTATTTTGGTTTTTACCGTATAACTAATTGCCCTACTTGCTGTGGTAGATTAGTCTTGGGCTACTTGTATCGACAGTCTATAGTGCTGCCAGAAGCGGTCTCGCTAGCCTCGTCTATACAGCTATCACAAGGCTGTTAATATTTTTTGGGCCACATGCCATAATCGTATTCTAAACCTACTGTTATCGGCATTGTTTTTTTTTTTAAACGCTGGGTGTTTAAGCGTTTACCACTATATGAAGGGACCGCCTACATACTGCTTAAGAAGCATATGTACATGGATTAAAAACGAAACCACTTAGAACAGGGAAACTGTCCCCAGTGA